AAACTTCACACACATGTTTTGGGGAGCTCTGAGACTTATTTAAACTGAAGAGGAGGATGTCATGTGACCTTTAAAAACAAAGATCTTTTATAAAGTAAGAAGCATCTCAGAAACATTCAGAATGAAGCAGATGATCATCACGTTTAACAAACCAACAAAGAAGAAGTTTTTTTTGACACTTACAGGGAGATGGAGGACAGGTTTGGCGGCGCCTTTTTTCATATTGTGACCTTCTAGCGGGACGTGCTCTATCCTGCCACTCTGGGCGTACAGCAGGTGTGTTCCTGGAGGCAGGGGGTGGACATCGGGTCGAGGGGTGGGGCCAACAGGTGGCGGCACACCACCGTGGTCAATACCTACGAGAGGTAAACACAGAACAGTCATGGAAACAAACCTTACCCTGTTTACATTGGTCTCAAACTGGATTGGATCAACCTGATTCAGATCTGAAGATGACCAGCGTCCTGTGTCAGCAGTTGTGTAGTCGTGTCTTAAGTAAACACTGAACCCGCGAGTCAGCTAGCTAATCTGTAAGTTGTGTCATTGTTTGGTTACCACGGAGACGTAATGTTCATCTTATCTAGTAGAGTGTAACGTCTGAACAAACCAAAACACAGTCACAAAAGAGGATGCATTCACAAGTTCCTAAATGTCTTAAATTCTTCTTTCATTTCAAGCGACCAAGATTGGTTCTTTGATTGATCAGTTTGCTTTTGAACATTTTGACACGCATCAGACTATTTGTAGTGTTTGTGTTCTTGTACATGTCAGAGACGCTCTCTGATTGGTCAGTTAATATCTACTCACACATCGGCCTGCTGCCCGTTCCAGAGCGGCTTCCGGGGATCTCCTGTCCATTCCGGTCCACACACCAGCAGTGCCCCGAGCTGCCATGACACTGCATGGCTTCATAGCGTCCGTCCTCATCACATGCCGGGATGTACTGTCCAACATGAGGACGGGGGCCGCGAGGACCGGGCACACTGTCTCTGTGAATCTCACACGGTGTTCTGGTCCTTTCTGCAGAGAAAGACAAAGAACTTTGAGACAGACACCCTGCACATGTCTCCGTCCCTCGTAAACACAGACACATTCCTTCTGCTGAAAACCGCTTCCAGCTGGCACCAATCTTCTGTGGCAAGGAATCATTTCCAAACACTCTTGTGGTCTGAATGATTTGGATAAACAATGCCGGAATGAAAAAGATCCGTTTTCCATTTTTCTCTCACAAAGTCTAAAACCAGATCAAAGACCCAACGAGTCCAACACAGACAACACCACATTATCTAAATATCATGGCGTTCCCACACACTCACCTTGAGAGCAGTATAAGCCGTCGCCATAGTAACCCTGCCTGCACTGGCAGGTAAATGACCCTTGGTTGTTGTAACACGCGGCGTCCGGATGGCACCTACTCGGCTGACATTCATCGATGTCTGCAGGGTGAGAGAGCAGGGCGAGAGAGGAGGGCGAGAGAGAGAGGAGGGAGAGAGAGGAGGGAGAGAGAGAGGAGGGAGAGAGGAGGGAGAGAGAGAGGAGGGAGAGAGAGGAGGGAGAGAGGGGGGAGAAAGAGAGGAGGGAGAGAGAGGAGGGTGAGAGAGGAAGGAGAGAGAGGAGAGTGAGTGAGGGGGGCGAGTGAGGAGGGCGAGAGAGTATAGAGAAGAGGCGGTCAGTAACAGGTCAGGATCGACACTCTGAACCTGATTAATATCTGTTGTAAAAACAGGCTTTTTAGAATGGGTGTGTATGTGACTTCCTGTACTTCTGCAGCCAGCCTCTAGTGGACACTCCAGGAACTGCAGGATGTTACACTTCATATTTTAACAGTGGAGGTTGCTGCTCGGTTATGTAACACAGCAGAAGGTTAAACCATCACAGCCTCCAGAGGTTTTCACTGTGACCACACCATGATGTTGAAGCAGACTGACATTAGTTACAGCAGATGTGTGTAAACATTGATCCTCCTCATCATCACATGATGAAGAACACAGAAAGCTTTCCTTGTTTTTGGAAAAACTCCAGATTAGACAAGGAATGTCCAACAGTCTATCAGAGAGAGTTTTTCTCTGAGTGAGAGTTAATGAGAGAGAGAGGGAGAGAGAGAGAGAGAGAGAGAGAGAGAGAGAAACAGAAAAGAGAGAGAGAGAGAAAGAGAGACAGAGAGAGAGAGAGTCAGAGAGACAGAGAGAGAGAGAGACAGAAAAAGAGAGAGAGAGAGAAAGAGAGAGACAGAGAGAGAGAGAGAGAGAGAGACAGAGAGAGAGACAGAGAGAGAATCAGAGAGTCAGAGAGACAGAGAGAGAGAGAGACAGAGAGAGAGAGAGAGAGACAAAGAGAGCGAGAGAGAGACAGAGAGAGAGAGAGAGAGAGCAGCTGTGGTCCGTTCAAACTCACAGGAAGTAGATCCTGACGTTTGTGAGGTCCTGCTGGAGTCTCAGTGACTGTGATGTTTCTTACAGGAGGAGTCACTCCGGGGCGAGTGAGCCTCAAAGTATTTAGTTATTTTATTTTTATTTTAACTTAATTTCTTCTCTTGGACTCTACAGCAGTGTGTAGTCTGGAGGTGGATGTTTATATTCTGCTGATGTGATAACAGAAGCTCCATTAAAGTGAATCACTGTTGCTTTAAAAATGTAAAGTATAAATATTTAGGAGTCAAACCTGCAGAGACCTTCATGTAAGTCTGCGTATCACAGTCTAAACTTTGGGTATCCTGAGTTACCTCGGCACACTTTGCCGTCTCCGATGAAGCCGGGCAGGCAGGAGCAGATGTAGGACGAGCCCCCCGTGTAGCTGCACTGAGCGCGCTCAGGAACGTCACAGGTGTGGGTGCCTGCATCACAGGCGTCCACGGGTCGGTTCACCTCTGAGGAGGAGAAAAGAAGAAGAGCTAATAACGTCTTCTGGAGATGGGCCTGTGGCCTAGTGGTCAGTGCGTGCGTAAACACGCTTCATAATAACATTAAGCCATAATGCAGGTGTTGTATCACAACGTTATGTACGAGAGGTAACCGTACTCAGGCCGGTTTGTGCAGTGTGACCAGCGGGGGAATGGGGAGGGGGGGCGGTGTCATCATGCTTCAGTACGACAGTGTGAGCACGCCCTGATACAAACAGAAAACTACCCGACTTAAATCCTTTAAAATTCATGAGAGCTGAAGGAACAAGATGTTTGTGAAATAAAGAGGGTTGATTCTGAAGCTTTCCTTCAGACTAACTAAAGGAGAGTTAGCTGAGCGCTAACAGGAAGTAAACATCTGAAGGCCACTCACCCTCACAGGTTTCCCGTCGCTGCCGAATTGATAACCATCCTCACACTCGCAGCGGAAGGTCCCGGGCTGGTTGTTGCAGATAGCGTGGGAGCCACAGATTTGAGGATTCTCTCCGCACTCATCGATGTCTGATAAAGAGAAGAGACTCCGAGTGAGAGACCGCCACTCTGAAGTCAGGATCTGTAGAATCATGGTCTTTCTTTATCTTAATTACAGATGTTTTCAGATAACATCTGTCTGGGATACTTCCTTCCTTAAAGAGCCTGGAACCACACAGGACCAGTAACCTGGTCTGGGACTAGAGACACTTTGTTTAAATCTGCTAATTGGACAGATTGCTCAGTTCCCAAGGAATGAAGGCTTTTAAAAGTGTGAGTCCATTTAGTGATGGCCGCACAGTCTAAAGCAAATGAAGGAGGACAGATGAGGATTTAAAGTTACCACTCGCTCTTCAATAATAAAAATATAAAGGTTCCTCAAAGCTGTGACTCAAAATGCTCCTCCAGTCTGTGTTTTTGTGATTCCACAAAGATCTCCTGCCCTGTGAAGACTCTGAGGACTCTAAGGAGTCTAAGAACTCTGAGGACTCTGAGGAGTCTGAGGACTCTAAGGAGTCTGAGGAGTCTGAGAACTCTGAGGACTCTAAGGACACTGAGGAGTCTAAGAACTCTGAGGACTCTGAGGACTGTAAGGAGTCTGAGGAGTCTGAGAACTCTGAGGACTCTAAGGACACTGAGGAGTCTAAGAACTCTGAGGACTCTGAGGACTGTAAGGAGTCTGAGGACTCTAAGAAGTCTGAGGACTCTGAGAACTCTGAGGACTCTAAGGAGTCAGAGGACTCTGAGGAGTCTGAGAACTCTGAGGACTCTGAGGAGTCAGAGGACTCTAAGGACTGTGAGGAGTCAGAGGACTCTAAGGAGTCTGAGGACTGTAAGGAGTCAGAGGACTCTGAGGACTCTGAGGACTCTAAGGAGTCTGAGGAGTCTGAGGAGTCTGAGAACTCTGAGGACTCTGAGGACTCTGAGGACTCTGGGGACTCTGAGGACTCTGGCTCTCAGATGGTTCCTCTGTGTCCCCCCTGAGGTTTGAAGGACCTGAGACTTCATGTCCTGGTCCCTTCAGAACTCTCTGAGGACTTTAAATCCTGGGGACATTTCATTGTTGTGTTACTTCTGACGCCATTCTTACCATAACATGTGCGTCCATCCCCGTTGAAGCCGGCAGCACACTGACAGGTGAGCTGCGTCCCGTCTCCGGGTCGACACACAGCGTTCGTGTCACACCCGTGTCTCCCGGTGAAACACGGGTTCTCCTCCGGCTGCCCTCCTGAAGACGAGAATGAAAACATGTGAACAATAAAACTATTACACAGGATGTCAGAAGAGGAACTCCAGGAAGGAAGTGAGCCCAGACAAAACAGAAAGACAACCTCAGTAACCTCACCGTTCACGTCCCCGATCTTGTTGCTCATGGCGAACCGGATGAGTGCATTATTGGGGTCGAACATGACAAAGACCTGGTCCACGCTGAGCATCTGAGTGGGCTTGACGTCTCTCAAAGCCTCGCCGTGCTGGCAGCTCTGGAAGGTGATGGTCTGACGCCACTGGAATGTCCTGGTGTCAATGATGCCGTCGGGGAGGCTGACCACGTAGTCCCGCGTGGAGGAGGAGGTGATCACTGCACAGATGAGACGACGGTGTCAACCCCACGTTACAAAACGACCACTTCAACCCCACGTTACAAAACGACCACTTCAACCCCACGTTACAAAACGACCACTTCAACCCCACGTTACAAAACGACCACATCGACCCCACGTTACAAAACGACCACTTCAACCCCACGTTAACGACCACTTTAACCCCACGTTAACGACCACATCAACCCCACGTTAACGACCACATCAACCCCACGTTAACGACCACATCAACCCCACGTTAACGGCCACATCAACCCCACGTTAACGACCACTTCGACCCCACGTTAACGACCACTTCGACCCCACGTTAACGACCACTTCAACCCCACGTTAACGACCACTTCGACCCCACGTTAACGACCACATCAACCCCACGTTAACGACCACTTCAACCCACGTTAACGACCACATCAACCCCACGTTAACGACCACGTTAACGACCACATCAACCCCACGTTAACGACCACATCAACCCCACGTTAACGACCACATCAACCCCACGTTAACGACCACATCAACCCCACGTTAACGACCACATCAACCCCACGTTAACGACCACTTCAACCCCACGTTAACGACCACATCAACCCCACGTTAACGACCACTTCAACCCCACGTTAACGACCACATCAACCCACGTTAACGACCACATCAACCCCACGTTAACGACCACTTCAACCCCACGTTAACGACCACATCAACCCCACGTTAACGACCACATCAACCCCACGTTAACGACCACATCAACCCCACGTTAACGACCACTTCAACCCCACGTTAACGACCACATCAACCCCACGTTAACGACCACATCAACCCCACGTTAACGACCACTTCAACCCCACGTTAACGACCACATCAACCCCACGTTAACGACCACATCGACCGCACGTTGACGACGAGAGATTTGATATCTGGTGAGAAGGTTTGATCAAACAGGAGGAACATCTGGCTCTGCTCTGGCGGTTCTTACGGTTGTTGCTGTACTGGTAGATCTCAGAGTAAGGGTCGATTTTCACGGAGGAGCCACGAGGCACCTCAGGGACCCGACCCTCCAGGGTGGTGCTCACAATCAGGTGGTCGTGCTCGTCGATGCCTTTGAACTGCTGCGTGATGGTCAGCTTCTCATTCCCCGGCAGAAAGGTCACCTCAGCCTGCCGTGTGAACTCGCCCCCTACAGAGGACAGAGACGAGGAGGTGAGACCCTGGATGAACTTTGGCTCTCCGCTGAGGTAATGCGAGGGGAATTCAGCTGGACAGAGTGAGTAACACTGCAGCTGCTTGTAGCTGTTTACAGAGATTTATGCTTCTAGAAACTTCACTTTGCTGTTTTATAATCGAGCATCACAAACAAACAGACGCTGCTGGGTGTATCTCAACATTCAGTTGTAGAAACTTTTCCTCACCTATGATACTAAAGCCATTCTTAAAGCCAGGCTGCTCCAGAGCAAACGCCCATCCAATCACACCCCCGAGGGCAGACAAGGGCTGCAGCGAGGGCCCAAGGGTGTGCGGGATGTCGCTGATCGCCACATATGAACGACCATCATTTACCACAACGTACGAGTGCAGATCGTTGCTGTTGAACTCCACTGGAGAGGGAGAGCTTCCCACATACACTTTCCCGTGCATTTTACCGTTCATCCTCTGCGGCTTTCCTGCAAAAAAACAAACAACAAAAGCAATCCACAGCTGATCCATAGAACTGAGCTCTGTTTCTAAACCATATTAGGAGCAGGCAACAGAAGTGACATTTGAACAAGCTGTAAGATTTATCCAAATCTAAGAGCTACTAAAATGTTGAAGTGAATAATCCCAGCTGGTCATATAAACAGATATATTGTGTTGGACAGCAGCTAGTTACATTTACAGTTCTGTTGCAGATCATTCAGAGATTTAAAGCTTTATCCACAATGCCGTGTGAAGTCTGAAGTCAGGCACACATTTCATGAGTTTAACTCCTCATTCCTGTCCATATTCCTGAAGAAGTAATCCTAAGCATCTTTATCTGATTTCCATGAACATCAAGCTGAAGTGGAACATTACCCTCGGCCACACACTGTATCCCGTTGCCATAGAAACCCGGTCTGCAGTGGCAGCAGTATCCACTGGAGTAATCTTTGCAGTCAGCAAACTGGGAGCATTTATTTTGTTGTTTGCACAAGTCCCCAGGTTGTAGGAGAACACTGAAAACATGAGAAGAACATATATAATTGTAATGAAGAATAATAATCACTTCATGACACCTGGAGAGCCGGCTCTGGACCCTTCAACGTATATACAGACAGTAAGAAACTTTCTAATAACAGGCAGAAACATCGAGCAGAACTAGACTGATAGATGGACCGCCATCTGCCTCGTCAGGCAGAACAACAAATGCTGATTGAATAACTATAAAGTTCCAGCTTCAGTGAGGAAAGATTTAAATATTTATGACAACGTTCGATAAAACAGGAAGAAACCTCGAGCACGACTACAGTCATGTTGAAACATGAGTTTTTCGGACTCACCGTCTACGTTTATATCGGTGTCGTCTATCACCACCACCTCTGGATTCTCAGGCTGCCGGGGCTGGTACTGAACTGGGTGGACTTGGATCTGCCCTCCGTTGTAATGACCGTATTCTACTTCCTGTCCGTTGGTGTAAACGGGCCTCCTTGTATCAGTGGCCCCCTCGTGGCCCTCAGGGGCCCCCTGTAGTGTGTCCTCAGAGGGCAGGTCAGTGACCTCACCTGGAGCCACGTTGGTAAAATAAGGAGAAGTCCCGATCTCATAGACCCAGACCCCCCGGATGCCGGAGTTAGTCTCCCTGTGGAAGGGGAAAAGAGGGCAACTATGAGGTGGGAAGACTTTAGGAGTCACAGTTCCTGAAACTTTATCCACACAGCAACAACAACATCACAAACATCCAACTCTGCTGTTTGATTGTTACACTTCACTCAACTAGTCAGCTTTGTTAAACAATAAGCAGCGACTTAAATTTTGTTCATAAAATTTAAAGTCTAAAAACTGCAGTTCCTCCAGTGTCCACTAGAGTCTGTCTCCTGCAGTGAGTCAGTCCTCATAGAGCCCCATGTTAAAATGTCCAACTTTACAGATGCAGTTCCTCCAGTGTCCACTAGAGTCTGTCTCCTGCAGTGAGTCAGTCCCACTGAGACTTTGTCATGTTTTATATACCTTTATATCATACCTTATTTGTCCTTTAATCTTGTTAACACTTTACATTTTGTCAGCATGACTTACTCTGCTAAAGCTCTGACAGACGCCTCCTCATCAGTGGTAGTGCGGTAGTACTGCCCCTGACTGGAAAACAGGAAACCCCGGACAAAACCCTTACTGAAGCCAGCATGCATGATGACACCACGATCTGCAGGCGTTGAGACAAACTGTATCCCGTCCCGAGCGTACATCACGATAGCATACGAGAACGTCTCCAGGGTAGCAATCACCAGCTGAAAGGTGTTCCTCTGTGGGATGAAGCATCACACAGCGTAAACCAACACTTCTACCTTAGATGACTTTAAGAACCGCAGGACGCTCACCTTTACAGTCCCATCTCCACTGCCCTGAGGACCAGGTGTGGCCACATCATACCAGGTGATGACCATGACATTGGTGGGATGGACCTTGGCATCTTCAGGGAAGGCATTGTTGATGGTGTTGGCGGCTCGAGACAGAGCGGCAGGACTGGAGTCTTGACGGAAGAAAACTTTCCCCACTCCGTCGCTCGTGTCCAGGTCTCCCTGCAGAGCTGCAATCATGCCGAACTTTGGAGGCATTTTGCCAAGATATGTCGACTCGCCTGTCGGTTCTGATGTGGCAACAAAACCATTGGTGTTGATCTGAAAGTAAAAAAAGGCTTGGGTTGTCATGGGAACAACAAGAAAGGAGATCATTGAAACCGCTTGAGAGCTTCTTTATAAAAAAGTAGGAGAATGAGTCCCCTTCATTATACATCAGGCTATTACTTTAGCCTGAATACACTTTAGGAAAATGATCTGAACAAAATCAAGAGCATTTCAACCTAAAAGAACAACAACACAAAGATGGGTGATATGAATGAGTGCATCTAACAAGGGACATAACGTGAAGCAAACGGTGTCAAAGACGTGTGAACACAAACTGATGCTGGAACTGTTTGGTGAAGAAGAGGCGTCTCGTGAATGTGACGTCTGGGAGAGAAACGTGAATCTTCGTGAAGAAGCAAACATGGCCGACTTACAACGAGCAGGGAGAGACACTGATTTACATGTCGGCGCAAAGTCAACGTTCTTTATTTCACTCTGGTGTTCTTTAAAGTTAGAAATATGAGCTGAGCTTCAGTTAGCTTCAGTTAGCTTCAGTTAGCATCAGTTAGCATCAGTTAGCTTCAGTTAGCCTCATCTTTCCTATTAAATCTGGAACATACGAATTGAAAAGTTTCTTTAAGAGTTTGTATTCAACTTTGACCTCAGTAGGTTTTCATACGTGTAATCGAGTAAAGCTAGCGTGTCCTTCACCTCCTGTAACCACAGATGAAGCAGAGCTCACTCCTCTCTGACCCACTTTGATGTTTGTTCATACACTAATGATCCGGGTCAGATGTCGTGGTCTACTGAAGCTCTAATGAACAAACAAGATGTTCTTTCACAGATCTGAAGCACTACAAGATGCCCTGAACACATGCAGAGCTCGTAAAGGAGAAAACCTGGGCTCATGTTGAAAACACACGCTGCACATGGGGCTCCTTCACTTCCTGACCAGAGGGAAACACGAGTGCTATTCCTGGCCCGGGCCACTCGGCTTCCTGTCCTGATCCATGAACCACCCCAGAGAGCCCACGTTAATCTTCATTACTGAAACTTCCTGCCAAGATGGGAGTAAGAGCGAGCTGGGGAAATGATCAGTGACTGTGATAGTGAGGGGGAGATGTCAGTGAACATACCAAGGCTTTATGGAATATGAATCACACTGACGAGGAGACGATTAAACCTCCACATGAAGAGAGGAAATGTTTTTCTTTAAGAATGTCTGCAGCCCCCCCCCCCCACCCCCCAGGGCCCAGACGCTTTGGAGTAAATGATCTCATGAATGAAAACACTGAGGTCATCTCAGCAGCTGTATAGAGGATCAAATGGACGTACTCAGCTGGAGGGAAAGCCCAACTTTACACCATGTACAACAAGGACTGAAATATCTATAATATGTCATGTCAAGCTTCAGCTGGAAGAAACAACACCTCCTTTAAACAGATTGGGGATATGACTGCGCCAGAACAGGTCACAATAAATTACAATACCATAAAATCAAACCAGATAGACACCTGTTTGATACCATGGCAACACAAATAGTTTTCAGAGGCAACCAATCCTGTGTCATCTCTTGTTTCCAATCACTAAAAATTGCAGGCAACCTTCCGCACAGTGTCTAAATTTCACAAAGATATCGACAACATTTCAACATTGCCGATTTCAGATTTAAATAACAGAGATGAAATAATTTAAAAACATGGAGTTTGAAAGTATCAAATATTTCCTCAGATATGATACGAATCACAACAAAGAGGGCACAATGCTGAAATGTTGCAAATGTATTAAGTCAGCTGTGGCTCAGTGGTAGAGTCAGCTGTCTCTCAACTGGAGGGTCGGGGATTTGATCCCCAGCTCCTGCAGTCACATGTCCGATGTGACCTTGGGCAAGAAACGTAACCCTACATTGAAAAACCTCAGCAGCCTCTACCATCAGTGTGTGAATGTGTGTGAATGGATGAGTTAATACTGATGGACTCTTTACACAGCGGCCTCTACCATCAGCGTGTGAATGTGTGTGAATGGATGAGTTAATACTGACGGACTCTTTACTCAGCGGCCTCTACCATCAGCGTGTGAATGTGTGTGAATGGATGAGTTAATACTGACGGACTCTTTACTCAGCGGCCTCTACCATCAGCGTGTGAATGTGTGTGAATGGATGAGTTAATACTGACGGACTCTTTACTCAGCGGCCTCTACCATCAGCGTGTGAATGTGTGTGAATGGATGAGTTAATACTGACGGACTCTTTACTCAGCGGCCTCTACCATCACTGTGTGAATGTGTGTGAATGGATGAGTTAATACTGATGGACTCTTTACTCAGCGGCC